TGGTTTGTCTGATGTGAAAAATATAAAACGTTATTTCTTTTTCTGAGGTTCAAGATTTTGACTTTTAAAACAGATATTGCATGCATAGTCAGGTCGAGAACATACTAATATAAAATAAAATCAGTTCAGCAAAGTTTGGCAGCAAAAAACAGAGGGAAGATTGGGCTATAACTTAACAAAGATGATATCTTGAGTCAGACATTTATCTTTGTAATATCTATCCAACTGACCCCTCAAATAGTTGTGGTGAGAGTATTAATTACTACTCATTCGTTCACTCTTATGCTGTGCTTATAATTCCCTAAGAGGGTCTTTATTGGCTGTTCATTTATACACCCGCTCAACCATTTGGACCAAAAGTCAACACGAGTCTCGTTTCCGCAAGGAGTCATAACATTAAAGCATGTATTTCTGTCTCCTTGTTTAGTTTATTAGTTACCCAGTGAACTTGTGTTATGTTATCCGATTTCTACACAAACTTAAGTCTTTTGGATCACTTCCTACAGAATTCATGCCTTGTATCACAGACGATAAAAATAATAAATTACCAATTTCACATTTACTAAAAAAAGTCTTACATATTACATTATGTAATAATTTAAAATCTAATATAAGCATTACAATTCTGTAAAATTCTCAGCTTTATAAAACCCTTCAAACACAATTTTGGAGGGTAAATGGGAATCGACCTGTACGTCTATTCGTTTACCTGTCTGTCTGACCATGTGCCTTGTAAGAGCTAGAATCTCATCCTACCGGTTAAACGGATAGTGATGAAAGTTAAACTGCAACAGTGGATGTGCATACAGGGATATAATTACGTTTCAAACACGTCAAAGGGGTGATGATCTAATTTTCGTACATCAATTTTGCAAAATGTAGCACATTTTGTAGTAGTCTCTCACCTCATCAGCACATCACCGTCAAAATCCGCGATACATTTCAAGTTGATCCTCTACAACAACACAATATTTCTAATAAAAGATTTATTTTTCACCTAGTTTGATAATATGTTTACGTTTTCAAATGGTAAAAAAAAACATGTATTTCAGAAACTTTGAATTCCTCATAGTATAAGTGAATACGTTGCATCATATGTAACTTTGAATCATGTATAATTCAAACGGAACCTGTGTATAATTTAACGGTGAATAGTAAATGGTGGTCGAGATAATGGTGAATGGTGTGATAGGCCTAGGGGGTTGCACATATTGAAGGGTTCATGTTCCCAAAAACTTTAGTTCTCTATGTAGTACTTTGTGAACCGGTTTTCTCATTTCAGCATATTATATAGATATAAGAAGATGTGGTATGAGTGCCAATAAGACAACTCTCCATCCAAGTCACAATTTGTAAAAGTAAACCATTATAGGTCAAAGTACGGCCTTCAACACGGAGCCTTGGATCACACCGAACAGCAAGCTATAAAGGGCTCCAAAAATGACTAGTGTAAAACTATTTAAACAGGAAAACCAACGGTCTAATCTATATGAAAAACGAGAAACACTTATGAACCACATCAACAAACGACAACCACTGAACATCAGGTTCCTGACTTAGGACAGGTGCAAACAAATGCAGCGGGTTTAAACGTTTAAATAGACGCCAACCTTATGTTTGTTTGTGTTGCTCACCCAATTTTGTCTATATACCGGAAATATAAACAACTGTAATACAGGCAGGAGATTGAGCTAGCCAGGTTTAACCCACCATTTTCTTCGGAAAATACCTGTACCAAGTCAGGAATTCGGAAGTTGTTTTTTACTTGTTCCGTTGATTGATAGCGTTCGATTTTGTGAGTTTTTATGGACTCCCCCCTTTTTTGAAGTTGCCTTGGAGTTCAGTATTTTTATTATACTTTTTTTCGTCTATTTCATTTGGTCACCTTATTTTCTCTCTCTATAATGTATATAGTCAGTTGATTGCTCATTTTTAATTGCCGTACTTTGTCATTCACAGATGATCAAAATATAACAAATAACATTATTAATTATTAATCATTTTCTATTATTGCTGATAATTGTTTTTATGAAATTTGAAAAATTCAATTTAAAAAATGTTTATATACCGAATGAAGCAAATATATCATCTATCATTTTTTGTTATTTAATTTGATGGTTGGTATAACTCCTTAAATGACGCAAAAACATCATCTGCTAATTTTTTGTCATTTAATTTTTATGGTTGGTATAATTCATTTACTAATGTACTTTGTTAAATTTCTTCATGCCATGTAATGAGGCAATATACAGTTTGACAATGCGTCAACTTTCCACCAGAGACCATATGACGCAAAATACAGTTTGCCAATGCATCAACTACCCACCAGAGACCATATGACGCACGTAGACGTCAGCATTTATAGGTCACAGTAAGGGCTTCAACATTTACAATGATCAAAATCTGTACTGTACATAAATAGCAAGCTTTAAAACACTCCGAATTGACAAGATATAAAAAAACCCACATCAAACAAGAAAAGCAACGGCCTGATTTATCTTCAAGACAATAAACGAAATACAAACATGAAAGATAGCAATCGACGACAACCAATCTCAATAATTGAATCCTTTTTTTGGGACAGCCACAAATAGAATGTGACGGGATTTATCATGTTTGGGAGTTCCCCCTACCACGTGCACACACACACCTGGAACAGCAGTAGTGTAACAGTACAACTTAAGAACATAATGTGAAAAATCGGCTGTAAAGGTCTGGACTCGTCAGATCGATACAAAGTAAACAACAAATTTGCGTAGGTTCACCAACAATTACGAAATATATATCACCATTTTTAATGAACAGGAAGTCTTCCAGTAACGTTTCTTTAATATGAAGATGACAGGTCTATACAAGTATATCTAAACTCAGTTTCTTTAATATGAAGATGGCAGGGCTATACAAGTATATCTAAACTCAGTTTCATTAATATGAAGATGGCAGGTCTATACTAGTTTATCTAAACTCAGTTTCCTTAATATGAAGATGACAGGTCTATACTAGTATATCTAAACTCAGTTTCTTTAATAGGAAGATGACAGGTCTATACTAGTACATGTATATCTAAACTCAGTGTCTTTAATATGAAGATGGCAGGTCTATACTAGTATATCTAAACTCAGTTTCATTAATACCAAATGCTACATATTCGGAATATGTAAATTTATGTCGTGTGTTTCATTATTTTGACTTTCATAAAGTTTAAGTATAACTTGTACACAGATCAATTAGTGTTTAATTTGAAATAAAAGTTGCTTGTAAAAAATAATATCTTCAAAGAAAACGCATTATTTATAAAACCAATGTTCTTTTATATTGAGAATCATAATAATCGGTAAATACCTTTAGCAAATGACAAGTTCATATATTAGTAACATTACAGTCATTTGGTCATTTGATTAATTATTAATATGTTCATCATTTTCGCTCCTATCTTATTAAATGAGTTTATCACAGTTTTCCGTACATCGTGAACCGCTTAATGTTATATCCGCAAAAATAACCGTTTTTTTTTTTACTTGTTTCAAATATTAAGTGTTTTCTTAATGATACTTCACTTCAATGTATACATATACGTTATAAAATCATTCCTTTGACAGCATATAAATACCACATAGCTGAGAGGGTGATAGAGCAGTTGTTGCCCTGGAAAAACATTGTCAAACGAGGCCAGGGGTAATAATCTGCTCTATCACCCTCTCAGCTACATGTATGTGTTAATTAATATATTATACTGGTATTCTTTAGGGAAATTTTCTATTTTTTGGTATAGCAGGAAAAAATTTCCGGTGACCCCATTTTATTTCAAAATTTTATCATTTCGTTACTTTCTACTCACAATATGATGTGTTTTCTCTTTATAATAATAAAAAATTTGTTTCACTACCTGTAGCTTGAAAATAAGCTCAGTGATCTATCATTTTTATTATATTTTTGAACATATCACAATATATAATATATACTACATTTTGGTAAAGTATGAACATTTGATATCATTTTTCATCTATACTTCTTTACTACATTAATCGCACAATCAAGCGCCTCCGTAAAGAAAAAAAAGTAAATTGCCCCCCCCCCCCTCCCCCCCCCCGTATTAACCTATCAAAATCTGACATTTTAACGTGAAGTATACTAAATTTAAACAATTTCTCAGCTCAAATTAATATCTAAACGAGGTTGAATGCATTCTTCGCAGTGCTATAAAATTACATTCGGTACTCTAAAAAAAAATGACTGCAGTAAATGATTTTCGATTTAATCTGATTTTTGCATATTGTAATCAAAAACAGATTCGATTTGACCCATCATACAACTTTCCTAACGATAAATACTCTAACTGTTACAGTACTAGTGTAAGATAATACATGTACATGGACACTGGACACGTCTGATATTGTTATTCTGTTCTGAAACTTTTCACAATGAAAATATGATGTCAGCATATGGCACCTGTCTACAAGAAAACTACACAAACAATATTCATGAAGAAACATTTTGAATTATATGACTTGTACAATCTCTAGATATCGATTCTCTCGCTTTGGTCGGTCCGCACAGTGAAAATGTTTACGGGTTAACAAGTAATAAGAACAAATTTATATACTGTTTTACAACAAACTTGACGTTGTATAAAAGATTGATGTTTGGTGATTAACGCCACTTTTCGCAATATTGACTATATTGTGGTGGCTACTTTCTATTGGTGGGGGAATATAGAGTGCCCGGATGCAAACCCCGACTTTCGGCAGGACAATTGGCAATCCTAGTCGATTAAGATTATAGTCAAACGTACCTGCTACATGCGGGGTTCGAACTCATAAACTCAGTGTTGAACAAAAACTCACCATAGATACAGTAGATTAACTACATAGACCACTCGACCACCGAAAACCCAAGAATTGCATCAGTTTCAGGTTCTTAGTATTATTGTTTATTGATTCAAAAATATATTTAAATATTATAAACACATATTAGGTAGTTGACTTTATTTACAGTATATGTCGACTGTGGAGACCTAGTAGACAAAAAGGCTGTCATTGAATACGAGTATACTGTTGGTTACGCTGAGGCTTCATACCAGTGCAAACGACCTCTACCGGGCCAAATTGGAAAAGAAACCTTTTATTGTTTGATGTCAGGTTATTGGAGTGGACCAAGCATTCAATGTGGTCGTAAGTACTGTAAATGTCCTTTTCAATACTTCAATAAAATCAGTAAAGTATAAGATACTGTTAGAAACATGGATCGCTCACTTGGACTCTGAAGTGCAAGAAATTTGAGAGTCTATCATAGGTCATTTGAAATAATGTTAACAATTCCGAGATAAAATGTGTTCAGACTTTAAACATATATTTTAAAATGCGTCCTCAAATGAAGTCAATGATAATCACATTGTAAGATCAAAATAAGCATCGGATATAATTCAAGTGCAATCTTAAATCAAAACCAAAATATCCAACAACATTTAATTTCACTTGATACAATTATGTTAATTTTAATTAAATTAAGCTTATCAGACCAATTAAATGCGTCTTAGAAGTCCTGTTAAACAATTAACATGTTTAATATAGGATAGTTTCATGTTATAATTATCTATAAACTTGTGGTATTCCATTTTGTTGCTTAAATTTCACGATGAAAGTTCATTAAATTTGATGATTTCTTCATTTTTTTTATTTTTCTTTGAAAGCTTTGCAACAATTGTTTTCCTATTGAAACTGACAATTTTCAAATATACGGAAAATCTTACAAATATATGAAATATATAATGAATTTATTATTCAAATTAGCACAAAATGGGTACCTACCCTACAAAACGAGATAAACCTTACTTATATTACCGTTTAAATTTTTTTAAACAAGATTAAATATTTATGATAGGATATTTAACCTAATTGCTTTGATGGTATAGAAACAATAAAATATATTCAAGTATGTTCTCTCCTCTTGTTTTTGAATTTTTGCCAGATATTCGGAATCCTCTGGTTTTATCCATGTAGTACATTTAAAAATTTTGCCCATTAATCCCTACTTTTCTTTCCATAATTTGATAACATATAGTTTAAAATGTCATCTTTGAAAATCTTACAGAATCCTTATTATTTGTGCATCGTTTTTTTAAAGAAAACAGGTGCAAATGTTAAGTGTATGAAAAATCTTGAGAGAATTATTTCCCGCCAAATTTTCAATGGCTTATATCTCGAAAACAAGCACACGGACCCTTCTTTTTTTCTGCTTTTTTAGCTTCTTCATTTATATACTATCAATTTATAACAGTCTTATAAAAAGCTTGTTATTTTGAAACAGAGTAGTTAACCTCCTTAAATAGGGATCAGGAGAAAACTGTATAGCCTATTTCAGATATTTTAAGTACATAGTTGTAAGTGAATTCTAGGTTAACTTGAAAGGATTTTCACACGCATCGTTTCATCATTGAATTGAATGCTTATGCATTTACTTGTTCCTAATGTGCCTTAAGCCTGAACATATTTGTATTTGCAGTCTATTGTTACCAGCCACCTATGTTGCGTCCAGAACAGGAAGTCATCTACAAATACTACGGCACTACCATATATGCTAATTACAAATGTACCTCTTATCCTGATGCTGTATCAACGCATTCCTGTGCAGTTTCTAGATGTACTGCTCCAGATACGTGGGCAGAAGCGTCGTTATCCTGTTCGGGTAATATGACTTTTTATTTATCACCAAATCTAAGAGCATACATATATATCTATGAACCCTAATTCTACACAAAATTTATCAATTAAATACTGCATAGAGATAAGAGATATGCATAGAGAATGTCACGAGAAGCCGTATACATTATTTTTGTGTAAGTGGTCGAAAATTTGTTATTCGGAGAGGGAAAGGGTAAGAGGGTAGGGTGATTTGTTTGCGGATAATTAACTTTTCATTTTCAACTGGTCCGCATACTTATTTTTTCTGAGGAATATGTTTTCACTTTTGTACACACCTGTATCCGACAATTTGCATTGCAGACTACTTGTTTTCAACCTGTCTTGTGCAAGGTTCTTTATTTTCAGCTCTGGTCAGGCCAGGATATTTCTAAAAATCCATCCATCGAAAATCATATTATCGTCCCTCAATTATCAGACTATTGTGTACTTCTAATAAGCTATGCGCATTAGACACATTAACTAGTCAATCTATGATAGACGACCGTAAAGTATATTTTACGGCTTCCATCTGTAATGGACGACCATAAAATTTATCATTTACGCCGTAAATCAATTATTGTCTATTGATGAGGTTCCCGTGTTCCATGATATTTTTCTCTCGTTTACAGTAACAATCACACACTTTGGGTTAATTTGTTCCAAATTACCATATTTGTGTTTTTTGTATATGACCACCATTGAAGTAAAGTTCATGTGACACTTACCTAGAAGTCTCAACTAACTTGGTTCACTTAAAAGTGTATCCTTATAAAATTTGCTCGTTTCATGTATTTGAAGGTTTTCTTTTACAATGCTGTTGAGATGTAGCGTGGAAAATAATGTTGTAATTAGTTTATGCATGATGGTTATTCAAATGTGTTTGCGGTAGGTGATCACAAACGACGATGCATTTTATACTGTATAGCTTTAGTGGCTCTGACAATACTGTCATTCATGAAATTGTAATTTAACAATATTTCAGTTGTTCTACATGTCTTGAAACCAGTTCTGACCAGTTTGATGAATTTAATCATTTTTCATTATTAAATATAAACATGATAAATATATATATATTTTTTTCACGATCTGATAGTTAGTTAAAGCGTTCATTGAAACGAAAAGCTTTGTGTATCATGTATCTGTCTGAAATATACATATAATGGATATTTTAAAATGACATGAAGAGTCTCTTCAATAATGAAAATTCTGTTAAAACATGTCCTCTCGTGAACCTTTTTCTTCGATACTTTACAGTCTCTATAAAAGGGGAACTACCCACATTTAAATCGTACACAAGCACTTCTATGTTTAATTGACAGAATATTTAAAACAAAATCAGCACTAAAATCATTTTCAAACAATTTGTAAGTCTTCAATTTACTTCCATCTGGATAAGCAGCAACTCTTTTTCACCAATCTGACTTAAACTCATTAAACACATCTTCCCCCATTCCTTTAATACTATTTTTGTTCAATACATTGAACTCAATTTGCTCATTATTATATATATTTTAACATCTCTACAACTTAAAAGCACTAAGACTTTAATCTAGCATTAAACTTTCGTATGGACCAGTTACAAATTTTGAAATCTATTCTATGTCGGTCCATTATGGATCATCACCTTGCCCAATTTCTTAAAAGAGGGACGAAAGATACCAGAGGGACAGTCACACTCATAGATCGAAAACAAACTGACAACTCCATGGCCAAAAATAAAAAGACAAACAGACAAATACTAGTACAGATGACACAACATAGAAAACTAAAGACTAAGCAACACGAACCCCACCAAAAACTGGGGGTGATCTCAGGTGCTCCGGAAGGGTATTACTAAGCAGATCCTGCTCCTCATGTGGCACCCGTCGTGTTGCTTATGTTATTACAAATCCGGTAAATACATGTAGTCTAATTCGGTCGACACCTGTCCATTGTTTAATGCATGGTGGTTTCCAGTCCATGACACCAGCTATGGCATTTTTTGGCGTGTATTGGCCAGCTCAATTCAAAAATCTCTTGGCGTTGTTTTAGACTACATTTATAGGTCCCTGGTTCCAAAAGTGCATGCACCATATAATTGACCAACCATATTATCGCACAGTATTGATAAAAAAACACTGTGCTGGAAACCTTCATGAGTTTTCCCTTTAGAATTAACAATTCTCATGCTCTACTGACTTATTTTGCTACTGTTTAGCCACTAACTGATAATCCAAACGTTCGGTCAACAGTAAGCCTAAATATTGATATTTTTTTACACATTCTATAAAATAATCACTTACCGCAAAATTAGAATAAATTTGAACAACAGATGGGTTTCTGAAATGCAGGATATTTGATTTACCATTAGTAATTGTCAGCTCATTATTGAGACACCATGTACTAAGCACATCCAGCATTTAATGTAAATCTTCTCCATTTTCTGGCAGTAAATATCATCATCAGCACACACACACACATATATATATATATACAAGTCTAAATTGAAAACAACGTTCAAACCTATGATTGCGTTGGATAAAAACCGCAATTTTTATACGTGTGCATGTAAAACAAATTTCTTGTTAGAGGGGTCTAAATACAACACAAACAACATTTTCCAAAAGACCAAAATAGTGAAAAAGTATATTTTAACAAAACGCATTTGACTAACAGGTCGAACAACGGATGTTCTTAAACCCTGCTGACTGCCATTGGCGATTGCCAAATAAATTGACCACCAGTACAAAATGGGTCTTAATATTAATTTAATACCAAACAGAAAACAATAAACTTGCGGAAAAGATGGTATACCGCAAACATGAGGTGCAAAAATTTGTACACCATATCCGGATTTCGACAATTTATGTCTCTTCAGTGATGTTAGGAATCGAAACGGTATTTGGAAGGCCATATAATTTACCTCAATTTAGGATAGACTCTTGAATTTTGAAAGAGTCAAAATAGGATGAACGGATCATATAAACCCGAAGGCAAATATAATACAAGCCCAAACGAGAAAATATAAACAAGTCTAAATTGAAAACAACGTTCAAACCTATGATTGCGTTGGATAAAAACCGCAATTTTTATACGTGTGCATGCAAAACAAATTTCTTGGTAGAGGGGTCTAAATACAGCACAAACAACATTTTCCAAAAGACCAAATGAGTGAAAAGGTATATTTTAACAAAACGCATTTGACTAGCAGGTCGAACAACTGATGTTCTTAAACCCTGCTGACTGCCATTGGAGATTGCCAAATAAACGGATCACAAGATGTAACAAAACAGATCTTATTATTAAATTATTACCAAATAGAAAACAATAAACTTGCGGAAAAGATGGTATACCGCAAACATGAGGTGCAAAAATTTGTACACCATATCCGGATTTCGACAATTTATGTCTCTTCAGTGATGTTAGGAATCGAAACGGTATTTGGAAGGCCATATAATTTACCTCAATTTAGGATAGACTCTTGAATTTTGAAAGAGTCAAAATAGGATGAACGGATCATATAAACCCGAAGGCAAATATAATACAAGCACAAACGAAAAAATATAAACAAGTCTAAATTGAAAACAACGTTCAAACCTATGATTGCGTTGGATAAAAACCGCAATTTTTATACGTGTGCATGCAAAACAAATTTCTTGGTAGAGGGGTCTAATATATATATATATATATATATATATATATATATATATATATATATATATATATATAACAATACAGCTATGTTTTGTTTGTCTTTGCTAATACAAATATCAAAAGCAATATTATCATTTATCAAATCATTTATATATCTATCAAACATTATAGATGATAAAACACAACCTTGTTTTAACCAAGAATATGCATTAAACCATTCATGACTGCTCATCATTATTTATCTCCCTGTGGGCAAACCATTTGATTTATCTTTAATTTGAAATGCTACATGTACCAGTGTACAATTCATCTTCTATGCAAATAGAACTAGAGTTATTCCCCTGTAGGATAAATTATCTCTAGAATATGATGAACATATTGGTTTTGGGGTAAAACTTCCCTCATTTAACATATTTGGTACATTTATAGAACTGAAAAAATTTCATTAGAAATAAAAGAAACATGTTTTGCATAGCTTGGTTTGGATAATGTCAACACGTGCCATTTTACTATTTTTGCATTTTTTACAACTTTATGAACCTAATTAATAGTATATCCACCAAAAACACCGGTTATCAAAACCATACTTTAACAATTGCTGTATTGTCTGTTGTCTTTAATTCAAACTACTATCGTGAATATACTATTGATTGTCGAATGGAACGCATATAATAATAACAACTACCCTGACCATCAGGTAATAGAATACTTTTTCTGAAATAATTCATATCGACTGTATGCCAAAACAAATATTTTCAATTGTCAAACAGCGTTTTTACCGAAAGTTAAATCCTTTGGTTAGGAATACTTCAATAAAATGGCTGACACTTACACACGACAAATACATCTGCTGACGTGATTTAATAAAATGAGATGTTAAGTATACGTCATTGCGACTGCATACCAACGAAAAACACAACAAAAAGACATCTTAAGGGAAAAATACAGTATTAAATTATAGAAATGTGCCTATAAATTACACCAAACTCTAAATTGGTCTTAAAACTGTGAATGAAATTGAAAGAAAAAGTTAAAAGAATAGCCATGAAATCGTAATTGGTCATCTTCTTTTTGTTTGATATTATTCTCTAATGTTTACCTTCCTTGATATTGTTGAATTTATTTTAGAACTTGACACCATTCTGGTTATGTGTTCGAATTTGTCTTAACCTCCATGCATTTTGGATTTGTCAGCTCTTCATCGTTTGCGTAAGACTATCATGCAGTTTGGTCTCAAGTATCAATTAACAGACCTTTATTGTCGAAAGTCGCATCTTGTGCAAGTAAAGTTGTACCGTTGATGTCATTTGTCCTTCATATTTAGTAGATGATATACAATATCTTTATATTCAAGACATAAATTACAAACGGACATTGCCACATTTCACAAATCCGCGTTAACTATTATAAGTTATATGGTTCGCTACTGACCCCCTACGGATCCATAGAGGGTTAGTAAAATCCATAGGGGGTGAGGCCGGAGGCCGAATCTCCTATGGATTTTATTCACCCTCTATGGTCCGTAGGGGGTCAGTAGTTAACCGTATAACGAATTTATCGCACGCGATACTTTTTCTGCAGCGTTTTGTAGAAAAATAAACAATGAAATACAAAAACATCAATAGATGACGTCACTATTAACAGTAGACGTGACGTCATGAACCCACTATGGAATTTACTAACCCCCTACGGATCCATAGGGGGTCACCACGTGACGGCGTTTAACCAATCACAACGTGATAATTTACCCGCGGTGCGATAATAGATATGAGCAGCACATTCTGAACAAACTGTGTCGACACTGACTGTCAAAATTTGCATCTCATGCTAAATAAAGTGTGTCGACATTGACTGTCAAAATTCGCATCACATGCTGAACAAACTGTGTCGACATTGACTGTTAAAATTCGCATCTCATGCTAAACAAAGTGTGTAATAATAATAATAATAATAATAATAATAATATCTTTATTTAGAGAGAGTAACTCATTTGGATTACACCAATTTTCAATAAGGATCTCTTAATACAATAATAATTACATTAAAAATAAACAATACATATTCAATAATAATGATAAATAAAATTGTAATACAATTTAAATACAATAAACAATTATTATATATGGCATTACAGTACAAATATCATGGTAATGTTAAAAGTACATAGATTTGTAGTTATGTTTAAATTCTAATACTGTGTTTGATTTTTTAATTGAATCAGGAAGAGCATTCCATACTTTTGGTCCATTTTTCGAGAAACTAGACTTATACAACTCTGTATTTGGTTTTGGAATTATAAAATTATCTGAGGACGAAAATCTCGTATTGTACTTTTGGTTAGCAGAAACTGATACAATAAGACTGGACATATATTCTGGAGCTAAGCCATGTTTTGCCTTATACATTAGTAATGATTTATGATAATGTATTCTTTGTGTAATCGGCACAATGTTACATTCGTGAAATAATTCGCTTGAAGGTTTGGTGTAATCATGTTCGTCTAAAATTATTCTTGCTGCCCTCTTTTGCAGTTTTAGTAAACTATCTAATAGAAAGTTATTACAGTTTCCCCATATTGAACAACAATAATCTAAGTGAGGTAAAACGTAAGCGTTATAGAACATTTGTCTAGCTTTGTGATTTAAATATTTCTTTATCCTTTTAAGTAAAGCTAAAGAAGAGTTAACCCTTTTTATGATATAAAAAATAAATATAAAAAATAAAGTGTGTCGACATTTACTGTCAAAATTTGCATCTCATACTGAACAAACTGTGTCGACATTGACTGTCAAAATTCGTATCTCATGCTGAACAAACTGTGTTGACATTGACTGTCAAAATTTGCATCTCATGCTGAACAAACTGTGTCGACACTGACTGTCAAAATTCGCATTTCATGCTGAACAAACTGTGTTGACATTGACTGTCCTAATTCGCATCTCATGCTGAACAAACTGTGTCGACATTGACTGTCAAAATTCGCATCACATGCTGAACAAACTGTGTCGACATTGACTGTCAAAATTCGTATCTCATGCTGAAGAAACTATGTCGACATTGACCGTCAAAATTCGCATCTCATAATGAACAAACTGTGTTGACATTGATTGTCAAAATTTGCATCTCATGCTGTTAAATTCATACCAGATAGCCGTCAGGCATAGTTGATCTTAGACGGATGTTGTCTATCAATTTAGGTCCCTTTAAGTCATATAGCTCCGCATGATTCCAAGTACGCAATTTGATAAAAGCTTTGTCTTTTTTATTTTATTTCGAGTGTTCACGTTAGAGGTAAACAAATTTTTCGAACGCATTAAATATACAAATATTATCTTAATTTTTTCACAAGGTTAAATCTGATTGTAGAATTAGGGATATAGTAAAACTGTATATTATTCAAAACACTAGATGTAAGAGGAATTTTCTTATATCACTTGAAAAATTAAATATGGTAGAATGACTGCAAAAAATACGTTTATTGTATTGACATCTAAAAACAACTGAAAAAAAAGCTTTTTAATTCACATTTTCTTACATATGTACGATTTTAGCTTGACACGTTGTTTCCACACGTGTCTATTGATGAAAACTTTAATATGCTAACATCTCTGGTGTCTAATAAGTTGTAGTGTTAGGTTGCTGTCTTATTGACATACATTTCAGATCACTTTTAATTCTTATTCTACAGTATAGAATTCGACTGCAAAACCTTCAAAATCAAAATAAGTTGATACAACCAAGGAACTCGTTCTTATATAAAGCAAACTGAACTCAAGTAAATAAACCTTTAAGTAGTAATGTAGAAGTGATGTGATATTCAATTTACTATTCATACTTTCTATTAATTCCAGCTCAAGATTGTATGATTAGACCTGGACAATACTACGGAAAAGTAGGCTGCACCGCCACTGGACGTACATGTCAAAAATGGAATTCTAATTGGCCACACCGTCCATCTTTTTGGCCTGCAGATACAAATAATAACTATTGCTGTACGCTTCCCGATGAGGCTACACCCTGGTGTTATACTATGGACCCGGGGGTTAGATGGGAATATTGTTATGTACCAATGTGCTAGAAACAGACTTCGTCTTAAATGTCGTATTTCAACTTTAATATTACCATGAAACTACAATATACATGATCCTGATCAATGCAAAATACGATATATCTATCTGAAATGATAAACTTTCTGACTGATAAAAGCAAGGTTTACGTGAAAAACAAACAATGTTGGCATTTTTGAAAGCTAACAACTTTTATTAAGGTTTGACAGGTTTTGTATAACCAAACTTGTTATGATTACAAATTGGATAATATTTGCCGAGTATTTCTTTTTATATTGTTTGTGAAAAAAAAACCTTTTTGAGAGAGAGAGAGAGAGAGAGAGAGAGAGAGAGAGAGTTATGTATCAAAGAAATAAAATAAAAGATTTTAGTACAACGCATTTTGAAAATTGTTATAACCCCCGCTGATTAAAGCTTAAGGTAAAGGTATACAGTGCTCATACTGTCTCTTCATTTGTTCGTTTGGTTGTGTGTTCGTCAGTTGTCCTCCTTCCGACATTTTATTTCGATTTATTTCCTGTAAGCAGGTTTGAATGTTGCACCTTATTTTGACTTTTAAAAATGTTTTAGGATGAAAAATTTTAAAGTTTGTTAGACACCGTACGTTTTATCGAAGAAAGTTTATCATGTTGAGGCTGTTTCGTTCTTCTCTTCGTTTGTACATCTGTCCGTTTGCCCTTCCATTCGACTTGTTTACCCATGTCCGCCTGTGAACCGCTTGGAATAATTGTTAAAGTTTAATCAAATAATACTCACATGATGAACTTTTGCAATTTTATTTCATTTCTTTCGAAATGGCTTTTTGATTAAGAAATGTAAGATCTATATATTATAGTGCTCATTTGTATCCAACACTTTAACCCAGGTCAGCATAGGATTCACTTTTTTCACAATGCAAGGCATTTTGCTGACAGAAGTTTAGATGATGTTGATTTTGGAAACGACATCAATTAAGATTACATATTCCAATGGGTAAAATGAAAAAAAAAAAAAAAAACAAATAAAGCAGTGAGCTCATATTAGGAAAACGAACTTTGGAATAAGGACACATTATAAAATCGTGAGGCAACCTAAATTTAAAAGATTTATGTATATCTGCATTATATGTGTATCCTGACAAAAAACCATAGCTGGATTGCACAACCTGAATTTACAATAAACGACGTTTGAATTTTTAGTGTTAATTGAATCATTTGAAATAATCATAAGAGGCTTTATTTGGCATTTTGATTACCAGAATTTTATAATCATATACGAGTATATTGATTAATATTTTAATGGTTTTGATTTTTGAATTGAATGACATAATTTGAGTGTGGAAATGTCAGATGTGATGCTATATGATACATGCGTTATAAACATGACTTTATTGACATACTTAACCGGCAAAGAATAATTTATATACACAGGTTTGTTATAGGTAATAATTTTTAAAAAAAACATAAAAAAACAAACAACAGTTTACTAAACATAACATAGAAAACCAACTGCTGAGCAACACAGACCCCACCAAAACCCAGGGGTTATCTGCTGACATATATAGACTACTTTAAGAAAGTACAATCAATGGACTGCTGGTTAAACAGAATGATATATTACAAATAAGGAAATATTAAAAGGGGGCTATATTTAAATGACATTTTGATATTTTTCGTAACTCTCTATTCTAAATAAGCACTTTCTTTTTTTGCAGCAAAAAGTAGTTTTATTACGGATAAATGAACATGGCATAGACGATCGAAAATTTTATCCGATTTCTAATACCATGTACATCTTATTTTGGAATTAGATGGGTGCATATTCGTTCTAATGATTTTATAAATCGTTCATATTGAAAATCTATCTATTTCTATAAGGGCATTATTAAAGAAAAATAGACACGCTTTTGTAAAATTTAGTTATGCTCTTTATAATGAAATGAAGACACATTCAGTACCTTTTAAAATAAAAAAAAAATTATAAAAAAACGCTAATTATATAGAATAGGAATATGGCGAGAGTTTTAGTTACTTCCAAATATTACCATTTAGGGGGTATTTGTCCTTTCTTTTGCTAACTTCCTTTGTCGATTATCTGGTAAAATGACACAGTTCTTGAGTGTTATACAACCACCATATATTTTCCGGCATTAGACTGTTAGGCAAACTGTTATGTACAAGTGCCCGGCCACGTCCACTTGTATTTGTAGTATTTGTGTTTTTATCCATCTGATGAGTTAAGCCTCTTTCACCTGATTTTTATTGTTCGTTCTTATGTTGTACTGTTACACCACTGTCCCAGGTTAGGGGGAGGGTTGGGATCCCGCTTACATGTTTAACATTCTTTATGTATGTGCCTGTCCCAAGTCAGGAGCCTATAATTCAGTGGTTGTCGTTTGTTTATGTGTTACATATTTGTTTTTCGTTCATTTTTTGTACATAAATTAGGCCGTTAGTTTTACTCGTTTGAATTGTTTAACATTGTCATTTCGGGGCCTTTTATAGTTGACTGTGCGGTATGGGCTTTGCTCATTGTTGAAGGCCGTACGGTGACCTATAGTTGTTAATTTCTGTGTCATTTGGTCTCTTGTGGAGAGTTGTCTCATTGGCAATCATACCACATCTTCTTTTTTATATTAGATAATTTAAATGTTGATGGTTTTAATAATTTTTCTAGTCAAGATAAACTATCTGTAATTCTAGGTGGAGTAAGCAATATCCATTTGTGTGCCAAAACCTGCAGAGACATTTTAGATAGACGTCGTAGATTTTTTTTTACATATTTGTAATTTGTTTTAATCAATGTGTTATGTATTGCTTTGTAAAAGGTGAGACGTTAATAAAAATATTGTATTGTATTGTATAGATTATACATTGGCAACAACGATAATCGAAAAAATGTTAAATACCTATTGAATATTGTTCTACACATGTTTTTTCCTTCAAAATATTTAAATATTAAGTTGAAATAAATATAAGGGTAAACAAAATAGAAACAGCATTGTAAAATCCCTTTGTTTCCGAATCGCACATCAGGACCCATCTGCACCAAGAATGCCCCCCCAAAAAAAGTCAAAAACCCAATGGCTAAATGTATACATACATACCGAGTCACGCCAAAAGTTTTACGATAGAAATAAACATAATAGAACGAAGACAAATAACGCGGAGATGAAAGTAAAATAAAAAAGATACACAACTATTGCACCTAGAATCTAAACTCAAGACCATCTTGTATTATTTGTGAAGAAGACACTAAATATTTATCTATTAGGTAATGATACTTTCCGATAACTTTTTCAGAAAAATGACGAGACTTTCCTTGACAAAACCCTGGCTCTTTAATATTCTGCTCAGACACGGGTGACGTTTTACAAAGCCTGAGTAGCATCTGCAAGCTCTTGAATATCGTATGAGTTGAGAAACGATACTCCACCACAAAGTAACGTTAGCATATTGCTGCTAAGGTGAGGAAAATTTCGTTTCGTTTGTCATAGATTCTGCTACTGAGATGATGTCAGTTTCAACTTATCCCGTCCAAAACAAGATCTTAACAGTCTTAACAAAAAAAAAAAACCATAAATACAGCTTACTCCACATCAATTTTAGACATTTACCTCGAATTTGACAACACGGTTCATCTCGCGTATTGAGTTTACGTTTCTCAACTAATACGATATTCAAGAGCTAGCAGCTGCTACTCAGACTTTGTAAAACGTCTATAGTAAAAGTAGGATACACAAACAAAAAATTGGTAGATGTTTTTCCTTGTACTTTTAAGGTGTACATAATTTTTTATAAAAGCGCTCATTTTATTTTCTAAATATTTTGAAGCTTAGATTATATATTAGGAGAATTTATAAAACATGGATTTGAAAAATACTGAAAAAGCGGCAATAAATCTAAATATTCAATAGATATAAGAAGATGTGGTTTGAGTGCCAATGAGACAACTCTTCATCCAAGTCACAATTTGTAAAAGTAAACCATTATAAGTCAAAGTACGGCCTTCAACACGGAGCCTTGACTCTCACCAAACAGCAAGCTATAAAGGGCCCCAAAAATGACTAGTGTAAAACCATTCAAACAGGAAAACCAACGGTCTAATCTATATAAAAAATGAGAAACGAGAAATACTTATGAACCACATCAACAAACGACAACCACTGAACATCAGGTTCCTGACTTAGGACAGAAGCAATCAAATGCAGTGGGTTTAAACGTTTTAATAGGCGCCAACCTTCACCCTACCTGAAACAATAGTATAACATATAACCAAAGAAAGACACACTATAAAATATCAATTGAAATGGCTTACCTCAATCAAAAGACATATTAACAAAAACAAGTGAACATACACTGAACGAATAAATTAGAGCTATGACACAATGTAAATACAAAATTAATAAAACAAGGGGGTTAGATGTTTAACAATACCAGAAAGACAACCATAATCTTGGACAAAATGCCGCCAAATAAAATAACGTACACAGGTAAATAAAAAAAAAATTGTTATAAGGTAAACATGGAGTACGGAAATAATTTTTACAAAATAAATAATTTTGTTGTTTCTAGTACTAGAACAAAAGTGAAAATTTATCGTCATACTAAACATTTATCAAAGGTGGTATATATTAAAAATAGTGAGACTAGATATAAGTTATAACACTGAATAAGTAAACATTAAATAACAAAAATACATTACAAATTGTATCAACAGGTCAAATTAACACGAAAGTACGATTTGAGAGTACTCGCAGTAACTGAAAGCTAGTTAAAAGCCAAAAACAATTAATAATAAAAAATCATGCATCAGAGACTAAAATCAACTAAAACACATCCCAGGGATTTAGTGTTTTAACGTCATGAACGTCAAAGAAGACATGACTTGTGCAATGCCAAAATAAAAGTATCGACAGGCAATAGGATAGTTAGGAGTTTTAAAATAAAGGCAACAGATGTATACCGCTGTTAATAAATATGTATTATGTAATATATAGATAGAGTAATCTTTATATAGAAAATAAACGTGGATGTGTATCTATACATACCCTCCCCCCCACCACCTCCCCCCCCCCCCCCCCCCCCCAAAAAAAAAACATTTGAAAGAATACAAATTTAGTTATGTTTTAATCTGCTGATGACAAAATCGATATTTGTGCCAATGTAAACTATTCAAAGATCTAATTACAACATTGGTAAGATAACCTTTACTTATAAGTTTGTTTAAAGGTTCGATGAGTTTACACGGAGCACATAGTGATTTCCGCGCTTTTA